TGGTATGCCTTTCTTCGGTTTCCCAAGCGCATACTTTAGATTTTCTCTGCATGCATATGTCATGTGTGTATGCTATTTAACACAACTTTATTTATTTATCGATTTGAATTTCGGCGATAGTTTGAAGCTATAGCTAAAAAACATTTTATATGTTATTGCAGCAACTTAGGGTTTAGGAATTACGAATGGGATTACAGATGGATGGACTACCCACCACAGGCCAGAGATTTGAAACACCCGTGTGACCAATCTGTGGCTACTTATAAGGGTCACTCGGTCTTGCGTACTCTTATTCGCTGTTATTTTTCCCCCGAACACAGGTGAGTGCTCTTATTTTCTGTTTGCTTCATATATTAGCAAATTAGCAAGATATTTTCCTTCATCTCTGTGTTAAAGTATTTATTAACATGTCATTGATTTCTCGAATGTTTTGTTGCAGCACGGGCCAAAAGTACATTTACACCGGATCTCATGATTCCCGGGTTTATATTTATGATGTAGTAAGTAACCAAAATTGATATTCATTTCTGTATATTACTGTGATGCTCTTTATTGGATTCAATTTGTTACCGAGTTTTGCACTTATCGACTATAGTTGCAATGTTCGTTAAAGATGTCTGTTGCCATCTGATAAAGATGCCATCAGCGAGTGATTATGCTGACAAAATGAATGTATATTATACGTCAGCATAATGTACTAAGCCATTGCATGAAAACTAAATACGGGCGGGGAGTGCTATACAATGAAATTCTGTTTTCTTGAGGGTAATAACACGGTTCTATCTTATTACAGGTAACAGGAGCCCAAGTTGCAGTACTGAAGCACCATACATCACCAGTAAGAGACTGTAGTTGGCACCCGAGCTACCCTATGTTGGTCAGCTCTTCTTGGGACGGGGACATGGTTAAGTGGGAATTTCCTGGTAAAGAAGCACTGGTCTCTACGAACAAGAAGAGAGTCCGGAGGCAATATTACTATTGAAGACAATCCGTAACATCTGTAAGCTATAATCATACGACATACACAATATTTTAATTAGTATTGAATAAGGTGTAATTGTTTAACGAAAACTCTAGCCGTACATAAATAAACAATACAACTCTCCGTGTAAGTTTGTTCATGTGTCTCATTACAACATAGATTCGACCGGAGTAAACTGCAGCGACGATGACAGGTTTGTGTTTTCTAGAATTGTGGTCGACTACACCGATGAGTTCGAGTAAAAAGACAGAAGGAAAGCATAAGATGGAACCGTAATGAAATGCTAGCTGTTTCGGTTTGTTGGTTCATGGTGTAATGCTGTATGCCTCTCAATTTCTTAAGGGTGCCCTTAGGAAACAAACAATGGGGGTGGGGCTTACATTCCATGCATGCAAACTTCTGCAGAGAAACGGCTAAATCTCAGTGCTTCACCCACTAATGTCAATTCCTTCCAGCTTCTAGGCCCATTTAAGTTTGGCTCATTCACATATACTTCACTTCCATCATTATCCTACAACTTTCGATCTAAATCAGAAATGATGAATTGTCATCTAATCTGTCGATGTCTTCATGTTCAACTCCAATAGCTCTTTACTTAAATCAAAAAGTGTGAATCGTCATTGAACACCTTCAAATTTTCGATTAAGTTATTTGGAAAGATGGCCTACCAATCCATCAAAAGAATTTGGAGTTGCTTTTTCCCAAGATTTTCAGGGTTAAGTAGCTGACAGAATCAAAGACTTTACACAACATAAAGAAGCCACAATTGTATAAAAAAAACACCCATGGAAAAAAGTTGATACCCCATATCTTCTTTCTTTACTATTATGTGCTATCTAATCAGCGTATGAGAAACGCATGAAAACCTAAACCTTGGACGGTGGATTAAGCCATGCATTGGGGAATTCCTCAATACATGTTGATGGGGCACATGTCGTTTTAACTTTTAATTCCTTGGAAAACAATGCCTCGTCATTCTCTATTAGTATATTAATATTAAGTTATTTAGGTCATTTTCAGTCCTCATCTCTACTCTATTGTATCTCTATCTATACTCTAGAGATGAAACAACAATTCATCTCCAGCGCTATCTCTATGTTACCACTAACTCTGCCTTATTCACAATATTTAACTATTATAATATTAATTTTACGGATAAAAAATCAGAAAAAATATAAAAAAATACGAAAAATTACAAAAAAAATAGTATGATTATTTATCTAATTTTAATATATTTTTATATATCTTATAATTTAATATATTTTAAGTTAAAAAAAAACCTAAATTTAGCATGAGCTACAGTACCGCGCTACATCTAGCGTGGTACTGTAGCAATACTCTACTGTAGCGATGGAAGTGGCACAAGGTTGGAGAGCTTTCTCATCTCTACTTTGGAGAAAATCTCTAATGCAGCGCAGCGTTGGAGATGCCCTTAGGGGTTTCAATGTAACCAAATTAGTTCATTAAATTCAATTTTAAATATATAACTTCTTGGATATAAGCTAAAGTCAGCCCCACACTCTCCAATGGAATAAGACATACTATGTACTTTGAATAAAGTAATACCCACTATGCATACAATACAAATTATAAAATCCAACGTACTATTATAAATATGTATTAGACCGAATTGTAAGAAATTTGATATATTTTAAATAAAATTTTAAAATTTTATGTGTTTAAAAATTATCCCTTATTTTTTTATGAGATCGAAACACGAAAATCAATAGGGACCCTAAAATGATGAGGGAACATGTAAGACATAAGAGCCCCTACTTGGCGTATTTACTTAACTGACATCTTTTATCTGTAATATTTTTTTTAACATTCGTTGACTAATATTTTTCGAAGTAGCACCCTTTTGCTGACGTGGAGCAAAGGCGCATCCCCAGGGACGCGCTTTCACGGGATTCTGATGACTCGGATGCCACGTGTGGAAGGCGCATTCCTAGGGACGCTCCTTCCATTTGGGTTCTGCTGAGTTATATACCACGTTGGTATTTCTTTTAATAATAAAGATTTTATTTTTATTATTATTATAAATAATTAATATGTTATGTAAAGTGTTTTTTTATTATCGATCTATTAATTTTATCAGTTAATTATTTAAATGTTATCAATCTAGTCATTTGTTATCAATATTTAAAGAAAATATTGATGCATAAGTTAATAAAATTAGTATAATTACACATTTAATCTTCAATAATTACATATTTTATCAATTTAGTTTTACTTTTAATTTGTTGGAGAATTTGAGTTATATAAGAGAGGAGAAGATGATTTTGGTATGAAGAATGAGGGAGGGTTGAGGGGGTTTATATAAGGAAGGAGGAGGGGTAGTTGGGGAAAAACGGATGGAGGCATTTATGACATTTAATGGAAGGCGCGTCCCCGGGGATGCGCCTTCCACACGTGGCATCCAAGTCATTAGAATCCCGAGAAAGCTCGTCCCCGGGGATGCGCTTTTACGCCACGTCAGCCAAATGATACTACTTCGAGAAATATTGGTCAACGGATGTTAAAAAAAAATATTACAGACAAAAGGTGTCAGTTAAGTAAATGCGCCCCCTACTTAATCAAAAGAGATATTTGTACTTAACAATTGCACCCCCCAACATCATAATTATTATTAGGTGACAAAGAATATGAGTGCCACTATTATGGGTAGTTTAACATTGTTTTTAACAATTTAGATTGAAAAATGAGTGTTTTGAAAGAAAGAAAATTTAAAAAATTTCAATTGTTATAGTGTATATATATAGCTAAATTGATGAACAACATCAGCCCTCACAATCCATGCTCAAATTTTCAGATTTTTGCATTGTCATTGTCTATGAACTCTTTCTCATCTCTTTCTTGGGTAAATAAATGTGATGGTCCACCATCTACTTAATACCATACTATAATATTTTTACAGTGTATTTCCATGCCTTTTTTATTTTTAAGATTATTATGCACATGAAACCATATCTAAGAGGCAAAGTTACAAGACTTTTAGGTATCGTTTGTCCCAAATCACATAGGAAAGAATTGAAAGGAAAACGACAAGACTTAGTAGTGGTATGCAGTTTATCAAAAAAAAAAATACATTACGAGTGTACGTGAATTATGTTAGATTCGATTCATTTTTTTATATTTAAGCTTGAATGTAGTCAAAATAATAATAAGTATGTATACATAAATTTAAATAAAATTTTAATTAATAACATGAAGGCAGGTGTAGTCCTTTAACTAGGATAAATAAATAGGTTAAATTTTGAGTTTTAGATGCTAATATTTGCTGCTATACTCCATGTGCCTAGAAACTGTAATATTATTATAAATGTTAACCAAGCCTAATTAATCTTATTTTGTTTTGTTGGTTCTCACTATGAAGAGGACAAATGCATAAGTAACCTATTAGGACCACTTCTATTCCAAGATTAATAATAGCTAAGTTTGTTGGAGTAAAGACTTGAATTTTAGTGTGTTTTAAAATAAACTTTTAGAGCCTAATATTATCTATTTGGATTACTGTTTTTAGGTAAATGCATGGTGAATGAAATACTTGGAGTTGTGAAAAGTAGAGCTGCAAATACAAGTTCATTGGTGTTGCTAGGCTGGCCCCAACTCCCAATGCCAATGCCAATGATGATATGTATTCCATCTATGTTTTGGGCATGATTGTTGTGTTTTCTTTTTCGCCAAGCTCGTGCAAATGGAAAGCTGCTACAACTCATGAACCGTTCGTTTTAGTTATACCTTTTTTTCTACCCCACCTCCCACACATGAAAGACAACATAATACAGATGCATATATATAAATTCATATTTATCTTGATTGGTATTAATATTAACATAATAAAAAGAAAATTTTAATGACTTTAATGTTTTTTATTTGTAATAAAATTTATCAAAATTTCGAGTTGAAATTCTAGTTTTAAATTGTAATGTATTAACAACAATAAACTCTCTTTATTTCAACATTTACCCACAAAATCACCCCCGTAAATAAAAATAATTGTATGCTAATAATCCCATTTTTCCAGAAGTTCCCTCGGCAAGATCGTTGGAATTACCAATCTTATCCTTTCCGTTTGTTGCACTGGGAAGAAGGCCTAGTCTTCTCTTTACCCGCCTTCAATGGGCAAGCCGTCTGAACGGGCGGCACCATGCAATTATACTGTAAACATATCGAACTCCTCAGAGGAATCTCCGCCGTCGGATTAATCTCAATTCCGGTCAAATAGTTATGTTGCAGATAAAGTATCCGTATGCTGGCCGATAATAACCGGTCCACAAAGCTGGCTGGGACCTTACCAGTGAACTGGTTATTGTTCAAGTAAAGATTTTGTACGGTCGAGAACATCGGTGATATGTGACCCGACAATATGTTGTGGCTGAGATCGACGGTCGGTATCGTTACTTGATAGGCGGGTTGGACTGGACCGGAGAACAAGTTCCGTTCCAGCTGAAGGTTCGTGATTGTAAATGAGAACAAACGGCCCGGGATGGGACCTGTGAATCGGTTCAAGCTTAAGTCTAGGTAATTTAATTTGTTGAGCCGGGATAGAAGCTTGTCTACCGGTCCGGTCAGCTGGTTCCAGGAGAGTGAGAGGGACTGGAGGGAAGCAGGGAGGGAGTTCGGAGTTAGCGAACCGGAGAGGGCATTGTGTTTGAGGTCCAGTCGGGTTAGGACGTGGGAACAAAACGGTGGGATTGTACCGGAGAGATGGTTGTGGCAAAGAATAACGTTGGTGAGCTCCGGCAATGTTTCGATGGAGCGAGGGATTCCTCCGGTGAGCTGATTGTAGCTGAGATCAAGAGTTTTAAGGCTCCTCAGTTGTCCCAGAGTCGCCGGAATATTCCCGGAGATGAAGTTCCTGCTGATCGCAAGAAAACGCAGTCCCTTCAATTGCGAGATTGACACCGGCAACGACCCATAGATCCGACCTGGAACAATGGATAACTCGACGAGAGCAGATAGTTTCCCAATGGCCGAATCTATCCTCCCGGTTAAACCCGGCGAACCAGCCCGAGGATCACCGAGATTAAGAGCCACTACTCTATCGGACTCACAGTAAACGCCGGCGAAGTTACAAGGATCGGAAGTAAAATCCCAGGAAGCCAAAAAATTAGATCCGGGTAAGTCATGGAGAGACTTTCTAATGGACTGTAAAGCCAAGAAATCAACTGGGTCTAAAATCGCAAACCCAAGAATCCACATTGAAACAGAGCAACCAATAACAGAGCATAAGAACCCACATGCATTCTTCCTTGTTTAGCCATTGAAACGATGAATCAAAGAAGACCCGAGTTTCCCAGTGAAGCAGCGATGCTGGGGAATGGGCATTGAAGTAGGGTGTTATAAAAGAACAAAAAGGTAAGGCTTTTGAGTTGGCAAATGAAGCTTTTTCGTGAGAGAAGACTACCGGTTTCTCGTGGGGATACAAACGTGAAAGCCTTTAATGGAGAAACTATCAGCATCACACATTATATTTATATAATGAAGAAAACAAAGACTGGCTTGAAGAAGAAGCAATGGTGGATGATATTGAGCTTTTTGATAATGGCTTCTTAGAGAAGATGCATAGAGCAGCGTTGACGGCGGACTTTCTAGTTTTAACACTGAATGAAACCGGAAATGTTTTTTATTATTATTATTAGTTTTTTTTTGTTATGAACGGAATATTGTTAATGTTTGGTTTTATTGCTTTATTAGCTGGATTTGTGGGGTAGACGGTTGTCCAAACCTACATGGAAGGCAGAGGGTTAGTTCCAGGAGACAGGTCAGCAAGTAGGGGCGGTGGGTGATAGAGGCAGGGATCACGCGACTGGACACAGGGTGGCAATGTTCAGCTAGGATATGACACGTCATCAATAAAATTCATAAATTTTCATCTAATTGATCAAACCTAACGCAAGGCTGTTTGAGAATGAAGCTAAATAGAGTAAAAAATACTCTTCAAATTATACTACGAGGTAATCTCACACTTTTAGAATAAATTTTTAAAGCATTATATTTTGCGTAATTGATGAAAATGTTTAACCATTGGCGTTATATTATAGGAGTATTGATTTTAAAATTTTATTTTTTATCTTTAAGAGAATTTTAAAAATATTTCGAGACATTATGACTTTTAAAATTATAAATACAATTTACATTATCTAAAAAAGTTATAAAAACATTCACTCGAACCACAAATGTAGACTTGATAATGGTTTTTGTTGGTCCCCAAGGAATGTAGCAATGGAGGTGCGTGCAGAGAAATGGAATGCACCAAAAGTAACAACAAAGAAACCCAGCAACACCAATCATCATGTGCGTTCCATTTTTCATCATGGAGTTATAAAGTAGATAGTAAAAGGATTTTCGAGTTCGAGTATCTCACGTTTCATGTTTTAAAGAAAATGATAAATTGATCATGAGAATGCATTAATCTCATATTATAAACTCGAGGAAACATTAACCGCACCAGACCTTGTATAATATAGTAAACCCTTTTTCATATACCCCCACATCCTTTAGGTTAACGCAACCATTTAATGATGTCACGAGGTCTACACACAACATGAAGACAGGGTTTAAACTCTCGGTCACGTTCGACAATAGCTGCGATCGGAGAAAGTGGTAACGGATATTAAGATTTGAATCCTACACATAACAATCATCTCTTGAAGGTTGTTATAAAACCGACCGAACTGAATTCCGACCAGTAACATCTTCTAGCGTTTGATCAAAGTAACATGAAATGCTCAAACGTTGAACGACAGAGAAAACTTATATATAAGCTTACGCAGCACAAAGCTTGAAAAATGTGTATTCGCGACATTATTCTTACCTCATATGGGTTTTAGACACGAATCCATGTAAAATTATTTGATAATTTAACATCGACTTCATAAAGAAAAGGTATCGGCAACATCGGCCATTCGTTCTTTCTTTGTTTCACCACGAGGATGATAAAAATGTTATTTATTTCGCTACCGGAATCGATCCACCAGCTGCAAGGATCTGTTGCTCAAGCTGAAAGATGGAAACAGGATGGCTCCAGTTAAAACTACAGTTAGGGGGGAGAAACAGACGAACTTGATATGAAACAAACGAGCACCTACGCTCATTTTCCCGGTGAAATATACGCATTAAGAAAATGAAAATCGATTAATAGATTATCAATGCAGTGCAGGGAGAAACTAGATTGCATTACCCTGAATAAGGTTGAAGCTTATTCTTCAGTAGGGAGTATTCATGAGTGACTTGTTGCAGGCATCTCAAACACCTGTTGCAGGCATCCCGCAAGATGCATAAAAGGAGTCATCTTTATCACACATTACAGAGTGAAATGCGTGAACAACAAGCAAGAACAACCAGAAATGAAGGGGGGGAAAAGACTTGTTGAACTTGATTTTAATCCATTAAACAATCATAAAGAACTTAACAATCTATGATGGAAGTGAACATGTTTAAGTATCTCAAAGCAGCATACATGCCAGAGTACGACCGTAACAGATATATCGAGAAATCTCGAGTCGAGAACTCACCCTTCACGGTTTTGGGCCTCACAAAAGCTTCGAAAGGCGATGCATGCATTCTTAACTCTAATTGCACCTATGCTATTACCACAGAGACAGAAACACATAAGAACTTTTGGCACAGACATCAGCAAATACAAATCCAACTCTCCACATGAAGCAGTGAAAAACAATTTGATTTTCCCAGGCATCCAGATTGAATATTCACAATTGAAAAAAAACAAAATCAATATGAAAAGTCAAAAGGAGATGTGTATAATACCTGGAACTACTACCCTTAAGCTGATGAACACTAGCATCTACTTGCTTGAAATCAACACCTTGTGTTTGCTCACTGAAGTAAAAACCATGAAAATTAGATCCCAGAAAAGAAACACTTAGAATAGGAAGGAAGGAGACGAAGTAAGACAAACTCACAGTGCTCTGGCCATATTGTTAAGAAGCTTCTCAGAATCTTCAAAGAAAAGAGAGACAACCTCGACGACAAACTCTGGGCTGTTTTCATCTTGCAGCTTTTGGAGTTCAGTAAATTGACCATCCACAAATCCCTGAACAAATGATGGGACAATAAGTAAGAACAAAAACCCAAACTTTTCATTTTTGTTTTTTACCAGGGAAAACAAATCTGATAAGACCCCACTGGATTTGGCATTTCCCCTTAAAACAAATAATTTCGCAGAAATATTTCCACCCCATCCGAGATTCTGTTGAAAACATCAAATCTTTTGGTAAAAATCTAAAAACGAATCAAAAGAACATAAAAGAAAGAAATTGTACCTCACGATGCAGCGATGTGGAATGGTCAATGAACTGTCTCTGCAACTGATTGACAATATCCATGGTGACTTTCCTGTTTCTTCGAAAGAAGGAAGGAGCTTTGTTTAATAACTTGAATTAGGCCAAAGAACAACAGAGGAAGCTGAAATTGACGCTCCACCATGGCTTATGAAATCAAAATATATAGCAGTTATTGAGGAGATTAAGGAAAGTCAGAATTAATTGACTTACCAAAAAAAAATTCTTTACTGTTTTTATACTGTAACGTTAACAAAATTTATCTGTAACAATAAACAAGAACAACGGGTGGATTGATTCCTCTCTCAGTGCTTCGCTCTTTGTTTTAAACTAACCCCACTCTCCCAGACAAAGACCTTTGTTTACTAAAATCTAGACAGTCATATTTCTTTACATAAACAAAAGGTATTCTATCATTAATCTTTATATTATATTAAATTTTATGTAAGTTATAAATTTAGTTTATGTTCTTCAATTCTATTCATCTTGCGTCCATGTAATTTATTCATGGTTAATTTTTTTATTAATCTGGATAAATACAATGTAGTATGTTCAAATACAATTTATACAAATTAAGATAAATTACAGCGACACTCATCTAATTTTTAAGACACTTGTACTTTGATCTCAAATATTTTTTTCTTAATTTTAATCACTATTATTAAGAAATATTTACATTTGGTCATTATATTGTTAATTAATATTATAATTTATAATATATAAATATATTTATAATTAATTCTAAAGTTAGTTTACCTTCAAAATTATTTTATCAACAATATAAAAAAATTCTAATTTGATATACTGGGTATGTGTTGACGTCGGACTCTTATTAAGAGGATCTTCTAAACTAATATCAATGTATTGATTTAGACTTAATTGATTTAACAATTATGTGACTGAAATTAAAATATTATTCGACGACTGTAAATAAAAAGATATATATATATTTATATAAATGATCAAACTCCCTAAAAATGGGTGACCAAATAGTTTATCTATTTATTAAAAATAATATTATATTTTAAAATATTAAGGAAGAAATGAATGTATCTTTTTTTCTACCTTTGCTTTTAATATATACTAGATGATCACTCCAGCAAAATATTCTAAAAGCGTTTAAAATTATTTATTAATAGTAACTAGCATGACTTATAAAATCCTTTTTATTCACATTCATCGTATAGAAGGGGAAATGCTTTGAAAGAATAAAGAAGAGGCAACTTACAAGCTTTTTTTTTTTTTAAAAAAAAGAAGAGAGTATTTTCTTTAAAAAAAAATTATATAAAAAATTGAAACACATTTTATATATTTTCATATTTTCAATTAAATTTAATATCTATCGTAATTTCTATACTATAATAAAGTTTTCACTTCGACAATTTTTATTTTCTCGAAATTTAAACCCTAAATTACATTAAAACTTTTGAACACGTCTTAAATCCTGTCAGAAAAGATGATCAATTGTCTTCCATTGCATAGGCAGAACAAAGAGTGGAGGATTTATGGATACGAAGTTATTTCATTTGATTTTTTTTTTCCATCAGACAAACAATATTGTTATACAGATTGGGGTAACAAACTTCACATAATGTTTTGTAGTCAAACAAACTCGATATGATAATGACAAGGAACCCGAACCCGAACCTAGTGCCAGAACGAGTTTTCATTCGAGTTAAACTGTCTCCTATGTCCAATACTCCGTTTTTTAGGTGGTGCCAGCTAAAAGAATGTACAAAAGAGAGGAGAGAAAGATGATGCATGCATGCTCTTACATCGCTTTAAGCATTCATAGCAAACAATACAATCACCACCGGTGCCCACCCACCCCTTATTTACAGTGCAATGCATTTTGAATCGAAAAACATACCTTCGCCTAAGCTTTTCAAAGCGACGAATCCGGTTCAACCTGCCAAAAGAAACCCGACCATGTAAAAGCCATGTGAATTTAGTTCCAGAAAAATGACATGATTATCAATTAATTCAGCCGAGTTTGTTTGGGGAATGCAACACCACAATTCAGGTTTCTACCTTCTTCGGAGAAACACACATGCCACCAAGCATTTCATCATTTTCCCCATCCTCTTCCAGTTTTCCCTTCCCACGGGGTTGCTGCTGCTATCAACATCATCGTTGGCATGCTCAGACAACTTGCCACTTTCACTTTGCTGTAAGATATCATACTGTCTTGGAAATGTCCAAAATCAACTGGAATCTGTTGCGCACAAATTGACGACTCATCTCAGAATGTCTGTAGGTACATCATAATGGTCTACATGCAATTGAGGCACTGCCAATACCAGCAGCATTGCAAGATGGCGTTCCATCAGTCTTAGTTCTTAATGGAGGCAACTTACTCTCTAAAGAGTAAAAATCGCTTGTCATAGAGTGACTGGTATCAGAATATATATTCTCCAAGTGCTGAAAAGGAGAAGATTCGCCAGTCAAACACTCCTGATTTAGTACCGACGGCTCAATGAAGCCATTCGCAACTTTAAATGGCAAATTTCATTCAGACCCTGGTGAATTGGTGGACAAGGCTTCTCGCAATTAATCTGATCAAATCAAGTAGATTATCCAGTCTCCTTGATGAACCTGATCAGATTATTATCATCAAATGACATGGATTTATAGGCAAGGGCATTTTGGTAGCAAAACAAAATTGCTTTCAAGCAATCACATTTACCTCCGGAACTTTCAGTGGAGCTAAGTGACGCTGGCTTCGAATGACAAATAATAATCTCTTGCGAGGCTTTATATTCACCTTGATGATGATCAGGAGACAAAGATGGAGGATACTTCCCAACGGAAGAACACCTAAATGGAACAACCAAGATAGGTACTTAAAAGATTCTAAACACAACGTAGTAAACAAACATGTAATATCAACACATTTCAGGGACATTTTCCGTGCATCGTCTGCCAGAATAAAACATTTCACTTAGAATCAATAATAACCAGAAACATCGAGCAAGAATATATCAAATTCAGAGTTCAAAATATTGGTAGAGCTGCAAAAAAACCAAGAATGGAAAGGTGATCACCTATCATTCCAGCTTGATTTGATACGATGGAAACTTTCAAAAACAGGTAATAATTCCTTGCTTTTTCAACTTCATTAACTGGGGACCAGCTCAATTTCAAACTCGCCACCTTTACAACTATTGGCTCTCGGAGAATCCATCATGTAGAAAGAAATCTAATGAAAAAAACTAAATCTCAACTGAGCTATTGCACCAATTACGAGTAGAACTCTAAGAACATGAACTACCTCAGTCTTTTGCCATATCGGTAACCTCCAGGAGTTTACTTGCACCTCTGCATTAGAAAGGTACCGGTGGAAGCTATCATGGGGCTTTGTCGGAAATGGTTTCGTATTCATTTCTCCACTGACATTATCATTAATTTCCAAAGAATCAATGCCGCGTTCCTCACTAACCGGTTCACTTTCAACACCTTCAGCAACATCTTGTCTCTCAACGGTAGCCTCAGAAATACATTCCTCTCTTTCTGGCCATCTGACCTCCTACATACGTCCCACCACTGAACAGGTTCAACTTCACCATCAAGTCATCCTCTTGGACATGTGTATATGAAGCTGTTTGAAATTTTAAATTATTAGCACCTGAATCGCCCAATTGACGGGAGAAGCTCATGTTGAACTACATGACCTGATGGAGTATAAACCAGAAGATGTTCCAAGGAAGTAGTTCTATGGTCAACATGCTGAAGAGCAGGTGATATAGAATTATGAAAAACAGCAGCAACAGCACCAGATGGCACAAAAACCTTTCCTGTTGTAGAATTCGCAACATTGCTTGACGTACTAAGCCATCCAAAACTACTGTATTTTATCCTGGTGACAACAGAAAGGGCAACAGGTAGTGGGGGTGGGAAAGGTTGCCGATTAGTGACACAAGACGAGGTAGACCACCATGGCAGGGATAAAAACTGGAGAAAGGGAAGGCTCTTCACCCTGAGAACCAAATGTTTGAAATCCTGTATCACCTCCAAAAGGGGATAAGACAAAAATATGGCAAGTCCCCTTGGATGAAACAATCGCAACCCACTGACTATAGTGACTAAAGCAAACATCTTGAATCATCTGTTAAATTAAACATAAGAATGCAATAATATAATATGAAATCAACGTAGAAAATAAGATATATCTTGAAACTAAAATTGTACTAACAGCTGATGTTATTCCACGATGTAGCTTGTAAAGATGCACATGAGAAGAGCTCCAGTCATGACTTTGAACACCCGATCCAGAGAGTACATGAGATGGCATAATCCTGAAGATGTTTATGTTATTTCCATATACTGATGCAGTTACCAGAAGGGTCCCACTAGGGTCAAAATTTAGTGCAGAAATTGGGCTTGAATGAGCTTTAAATTGAGATATAACATCTCGAGAAACAAAACCTTTACGACAACCTACAAAATCAATCATTTGAACCTAGTATCAGCCATTGGATTCTCCAAAGCTCCTCTATAATCTAAATATTCACTTGGCAACATATAAAGAAGACAGAACAATCACAAATGCATCCTCTTAAATCTAATTATGATCTCATTGCAGTCATTTTGCCCTTCCCTTTCAGCTTTGCAACTTTCATATACAAAAGGAACATTGGGCTTAATTTGTTCCATCTGGAGCAAGATTGGAAAATAGATAACAATCATTTCATTCTCTTTGCAGATTCTACCCCTTTATTAAATTAAACTAAATCCTATTTGTTCAGAGATCATAATTTCTTTAAAATTAAAATCACATTACGTTGCTAGCCTTATAAGTAGAAGCATCGCACAAAATAATCCTAGAGGAATCAAATCGGAACTTTTAAATTAGCTCTGGGTTAGTTGGGAAAGTAATCTCAATATAGTGATGCTGCAAACATCAATTACTTAGAATGACGCCCAAAGTAACAGGTTTGACCTCAAATTTAAAACACCTACACTTTTATCCTGAAATAGAGAAAAGAAAGATTTTATCAAAATAGAAATGCACTCTACACAAAAGCATAACACTAACCATTCCTGCATTGTCAATATCAGTTCCTGCCAGTCTTCCGAATTTCCAAACTGAATTT